TTTAAATATAATTTATTTTTTATTTTATGAGTATTTTCTTTTTATTATATATGTTATTTGGAAATATAAGGAAAAATAAAAATATTACCAAATAGATCAAGACCCATTGTTCTCAACTAGTTAATTATGAACACGAATTTGAAATTAAGGATTTTAATTCTTCAGAAAATGAATCAATGAAGAATATGAATGCCAAATTGAATTGAGCATAAATAAAATCTGGTTTTGAGATATAGATGAGGAAAAACACAGAGATATCAGGGCTCCCAGGATGAGACTTCAACTACTTCTCAAGCTGCTTGCGTGACCTGATCTTTTCACCTGTTGGAGTTTCGAACATGACCTTTTGCATCCTCGTTGCAGAAGAACCTGCTTTCTCCGGATAAAACTGCAAAGAAAATCAAAGAAACCCCTTCCCGTTACTCACACAATAGCAAATGATCTAGCAACAACATATGGCTTCTCCAGTTCTTCAGACACATAGGCCCAAACTTTACCAACCAGTTTCTAGGGTTTTAGGTCTTACACAGAAAGGATTTTCATCAGAAACCCTAATTTTTATTCCGTGAGCATTAAACTTCCAGTCTAGTTAGTATTACTTGGATATATTGGATTGTATTAGCTTCTCTGAATCCAATCATATTTTTTTGGAATATAAATTTGATTTTTAAAGTATTTATTTTGTTGGTTATATTGAATCACATACATTTATTTAAATCTAAATACACCTACTTTTGAGTTTATTTAAACAAAAATTGGTTAATGCATTATTCCAAATCTTTAGCTTAAATATGTAATTCTGTTTTTTTTTTGGTAATTGTTTTGGTATAATTTGATATTTTCTGATTTCTAAAAATAATAGAAAATAAGGTAATAATAAGTACAAAGTTTCATACACCGACATTATGGATGGAATTTTAAAACTTAGCAATGGATATCAATACTTATAAATATTTTTTTTTAGTAAACTTTACGCTTTTGTATAAAATATAAACTAAAACTATTCTGAATAAATTAACCTTAAATACTCATATTGGTTTATGTATTCTTATTTTAGGTATATTAAGTTGAATAAATATATAAAATAATTAAAAATAGACATCAAAATATTAAACCTTCTAGAAAGTTTTAGTGGTATACTAGGTTTGATTATAATTTGAAGATTTATTTTTGTTTATGTATTCTGCTAAAAACCTATATAAATAATAAATCAAAACTAAAATTTTTATATAACATTGTGCAAAATGAATAAACATCTTGGTAGTATGAATTATAAAATATTTTTATTTCATCAAAGATATCTTAGTTTATGTTATTAAGATTACTGTAATAATCTTAGAAAATATACTGATATTAATAAATGTTTTAGTTACTTTTAAAATATATATTGTGATGTTTGTGATTATGTTTTAAAACTTTGTTTGTAATATCAAGATTTTTTGTGAACTTTTGCTTTTTTTGTTTTATAAACTAACATTATATATAGCATATTCTTTCGTGCTCACATATGTATAAAAGTATGTTTTCATAAAATAAATTTCTTTCCTTTTTTTAAATATAATATTTTTAATTAACTAAGGGTGACTTTGTAATTTACCATGGTAACAATTAACGTGAACGCGACACATAAAAAACTGACTTCTCAAATAATATTATAGAGATATAATTTTTTTTCAATAATATTTAATACTTAAAATAAAATCATATAAAGAATGTTTTTTTATTTGTTTAAACCAGCTTTATTATTTTTGGTTGTAAAAAGCTAACTAGGATAAGAGATGTTCCTTGCGCATGATAAATTTATTTAAAAATTATTTAAAAATATTATCTCGAAAAATAAATCTATATTCTTGATTGAATTAAAATGTTGGTCTTAAAATATTTTTTTGTAATACATAATTGGTTTACTGATGAGCTGATCTCATTTTTAAAAATGTTTTATGTCAAAATATCACTTACCGCAAAGAACCTAATGTTTAGGTCAAAAAAGTTTGGGTCAAAAAAATTTGGGTATGTTTGGTTACAATGAAACTATGTCAGCTCGGTTTTATATCATGATTTAGCAATTTAAAAGTTAATTATAGTTATGAGAAGTTTACGTTCACGTGTCAATCCTATTTATCTTCAATATTTTTTTGTCTTTTTCATTTTGGTTATTGCTCGATATCGATAATGATTTTGAAGTTTATTCTCATTTCGTTTGTTTGTTTTGGCCTAAGATTTAGATAATGCTTAAGATTTATTATAATTAAAGAGATACATACTTAGGTTAAGATCTGCACTTTTTGAAGAATAAGTATTTTATATTTATTATTTATTTTATGTTTTTCTGCATATTATTAAATAATAAAATAATGTGTATATATATATATATTAAATAACTAATAAATAAGTTACTATTATGTAATAAATTGGTGTGTATATATAAGTCTAACGATCACTCTTGTTTATTCGCAATTAGGGTAAATAAATAAATAAATATCAATCTTGTCTATCGTATATGATATATAATTAAATTTAAATAATATTAACATAGATATATAGCACACTTTTAATATGTATATTTATTAAATGAGGTTTCTACTCATATTATTTTATGATTATTTCCATATTTGTATAACAAAATTATACACCAACGAATTTCTTTTAATGTGAGATATTTAGTAGTTTCAATAATTTATAATCATTTTAAAAAAAACAGTGACAGATTTAAATTAAAATATTAACTTCTCAATATATGTTCAATGCAAATATCAAAATATTAGTATGTATTTTCAATATGATGTATAGTTTAATTTAAATGATATGAAATATATATATATATATATATATATATATATTAACATAGAACCTATTAAAATAAAATTATTTCTTCATATGGTCTTATAATAATTGTATCTTAATATAGAAAAAAATGTAAACTTTGATCATAAAAGCTTATGTGCGACTTTTAACAGTTTTAGTAATTTATATTCATTTTGAAAAATTCGAAATAGAACATACACAAAAAAAATCTAGATTTTTGTTAATGATTAATGTAACTGTGTAATTTATTTTAATAATAAAGAAATAAAAAAAATGATAAAAAAATATACAGATTCTTATCAAATCTTTATTGTTTAAAATCATTAAGTGACATATATATATATATATATATATATATATATATTCATTTTGAAAAATTCGAAATACAACATACACAAAAAAAATCTAGATTTTTGTTAATGATTAATGTAACTGTGTAATTTATTTTAATAATAAAGAAAAGAAAAAATGATAAAAAAATATACAGATTCTTATCAAATCTTTATTGTTTAAAATCATTAATTGACATATATATATATATATATATATATATATATATATATATATATATATATTTTAATCACATTAGGTAATTCTGTAGGTTTTATTTAAAGAAAGCCTGCGGAACAATAAGTATTTGATATATGCGAACAACTATAGTCTGCGAAATATTATATTGCTAGAGCGTATAATTTTTAGACTATACATTTTTTACCTGCTCTATAATCCTTCTAAATTGAAATAGAAGGCATAGAGATGTGCCACGTAAAATGATGTTATTTTTTAATTAATACAAACTTAAGATTACAACTTTTCAAATGTTTCTCAATTAATATATAGAGGATTTGGTAAGAAGGTATTTTCTGTCAGCTTTGTAAATTTCTTTTAAGATATTCCAAACTACCATTTAATAAAAAGGTCCACTTGTAAATAATACTAACAATAGTCAAAAATCCAAGGATATTGATTGAATATATATAGAAAGTATTCAATGCTCTAAAAGGTAATTCAAGATTTTTTACCAAAGACTCTAAGTATGTATCTAAGCAAAATTGACTTACTCACTTGAATATGATGATGAGGTTCAATGAAAACCCTTCACACATTCACTACTATTAATACATAAAGAAATAACTGAAACAAATAATACAGTAACTGGAAAACATAAACAAAAACAGACCAAAAAATGGGTAGGAGAAAGATTAAGATGGAGAAAGTGCAAGACACAAACACAAAGAAAGTCCCGTTTTCAAAACGTAGATCGGGTTTGTTCAAGAAAGCTGCTGAGCTTGCGACTCTGTGCAATGCCGAGGTTGGTATACTTGTATTCTCACCAGGAAACAAACCGTACCCCTACGGGAGCCCGTGTTTTGATTTGGTTGTAGAGCGTTATAACAACGAATCCGAAGACTCAGATAGCTGTGAAACATCAGGTAATGGTAGACGTAACAGAGATAGACAAGAGAAGAGGATATGTAAACGTCTTAACTCGATCATGGAACAAGTTGAAGTTGAGAAGAAACGAGGCGAAGATCTTCAGAATCAGCTTGAAACTGCTGGAGAAGAGAAGTTTGACAAGCCCATTGAGGATCTTTCTCTTGAGGAGCTCAAAGAATATGAAGATAAGATGATGAACATGCATGGTATGATTCAAAGTAACATTAGTCAAATGCAAGTGTCGTCTACTCTCATGCTTCTCTCTATTGACACTCAAAATAACTAGACAGTTATAGTTAGAACATTCGTTCTATGTTGTTACTGATCTTTAAAGTCTTTGTTTCATGTAGTTTATGTTAAGACATGTAATAACTGGCTATGATCTATTGGTTGTAACTTTTGGTTTGTTGGAGACAATCTTATTATGAAGACTAAATTCATGAACACAAACTGTCTAAAAGCCTTTCAGCGAATGGAGAAGGAAGTATATTAACTTAAACAAATATTATATTTCCTCGAAAACATAAAATAAAATTACAAAACAAAAGGAATAATCAATAAAAAACAAAACCTCAAAAGAGGATTTGGACAAACAGTGAGTATGAAGATGGACCTCATGTACAGAGGAAGAGAGGAGAGATTTTCATTTTCATATTTCTCGTTTCAGTATAACGCTAATGATCCCTATTTGCGATTTTGGCTGGTAATGCTCATCTGTATCCACTTCCTTGAACATATAAAGGGTGTGTTTGTTGGATCTAACCTGTACTACATCCTTTGGTTTTTGGTGTCCCCAACATGAATGCCTCATGTTTTGGGCTGAATAACAACAACACACAGGTTCGGTTTTAATCTTAAAAAAAAAAAAAAAAAAATTTGGAGATTTTACTCGTAAAGAAAATTACCTAGTGTTAAGGCGACCACGAAGCTTTCCTTTAGCTGTCCATTCTTCAACAGGTATGGAGCTCGGGGAGTGACCAGCTTGTACCAGGTAGTTTTTTATAACGCGCTGAAACGGCATTCCCTTGAAGTGATCTTTTTGGCTGCAACAAATACTCAGTGTATTACAGACTTAAGCTAGAATAGTGTTACATAATGATTCAGCTTGTTTCTATTTTGTGAGTTTAATGTTCCAATGCTAGGGCTTATGACTAAAGTCGTTCAATTAAGAAACTCACAAAGATGTAACGCTTGTCCATATTTGTCTAAAAATCACCAACAACCAAAAGCCGCCACTTCTGAAGAAGTCGGTAGATTGTAAACACGTCAATCTTTAAGACGATTGTGAATCAAGACCAATGAGACCTCATCAGTTCTTCATCATCATTAAATCTTTCCATAGCATTGCGGAAGGTTTTCACATGAACATTAGAGATCCTTAACATATTCATTATGGCATCCACCAAGTCTTCTCTTATTTTTGTTTTTTCAGAATTACCACTGCATAAAAGATAGTCGTATAGAATATTTATTACAAACGGAATATATCATTTAGATATACATTAATAATATTAGGACTTTAAACTGATAATATTGGGTATTTTTTTATTAATTTATCCCTATATGGATTTACAGAACTTTCCTTATTTAAATCTCTTTTAAAGATATATTTATTTTGTAAGATAATAAAAATATTTGATTTTCGTGTACAGATAGTAGTTATTATTAATTCTTACGATTTGAAATATTCTATTAAATTTATTATATTATTCGATTTTAATATATAATATATAATGCATAGAATTTATATGTCATTTTAGATATAATATAACTAAATTTTATCATAAAAAGATTAATTAAGTGTTAAAAATATAAAGCTGAATTCATTATGAATATAAAATAAACAATATAATGATAGTTTTTTACTGATGTATAATATGTATACATATATATATTAGAAATTTATAATTTTAATGGGACCATAAATTTATATCCAGTCATATAAAATTATTATTTTATCGATTTATATCAAATTTTGAACCGGTCCAAATTGGGATCGACATACATCTCATATTAATTTTTATATATATTATTAATTTATCAAGTATTAATTTATAGAGGTTCGACCAAGTTTTAGAGTTTTAGTAAAAAAAAAATACCTTTTTTTGTTTTCTTCTCTAACCCATCATTAGTTATTGGAGGCGAGGTTTTGTTCATCAAACTACTTAACACTTGTGCGAATCGATTTGCAACCATATCTATTCGCTTCTGCCTTTCAATCTTTTTAGCATAATCATCCTCAAAGATTTCTGAGTCTGAGATATTATCTTCGCCTTCGCTGCTTGTGCAATCCCATAAATCATCATCAGAATCTGTCAATTGGACAACCATGGATTGATTATTCATAATGTAACCGCGCAGGGCGCAGTAATAATAGTTAGTACATCTGAAGAGAAAGTCCGAATGATGTTGAAGAGCATGCAAAAGATTTTAATATTATTTTTTTTGGCTTGTTATCTACATCGTACCTGACTCATCTTCCGCAATATTGGTTGAGACGACAACAGTTTCTTGAGTTTTAAGCGAAACTGTAGTGCGAGAGTTAGTTGGAGTAGTTTGGATTTGGACTTCCAGCTGAAGTGAGCAGAGTGTATGATGTGAAACAATAAATATCACTTACGCTGAACAGAGTCATAATTTAATGACGACAATCCAATTATGACAATGGGTTACCTTTTACTTGACTGTGAAGGTTTGAAATTTGACTCCTTTGAGACTGTAATCCAGTAGAATGAGCTCTGATGTCAGAATTAGTAACAAAAGAACTCCCACTTTTACTTTTTTGATGATCACGTATCGGTACTCTATTGGGAGGACATCTAGTATATTCTGTTGAATTCCACATAAGGTTTTCTGTCATAAAATTTGATAGTAGTTATGTTTTATACATTGCAGTGAATGCGGTGATATATGACAATTGAATATATGTTACTTGATTGTGAGGATCAAGAGTTCCTTGACTGGTTTGGGGCTGAGATCCATTACCAATTGTATATCTTCTTGCGAGATCTGTGACCGAACAATTGTAAACAAAGGAACTCCAAAAAAATACCTTTTTGAGTCTCCCTGGTAGGCACTGATGTTTTAGGATACATAGTCTGTTCTGTCGAGTTAGATTAGTTAGATTTCACGAATTACATTATAATCGAAATAAGACAATGAGAATTCATTACCTGATGTTTGAATGTGAAGGTTAATTTTTTGACGGGTTTGGCTCTGTGGACCAGTTGCAATGGATTTCCATTATTCGCAGCTGTAACGTCCAAATTCTCTGATGAACTCCCTTTTGAAAATTTTGGATTATCCCTTTTACCCTTTTTTGTTGGGGGATTCATACTCTGCTCTGTTGAATTCAGCATCACATATGAATGCAGTAAGTTGATAGTAGTGTGGTTCTACGTATTTATGTTAATGAATACAATCAGTTGAGCAAAATTAATTACCTTCTGCTTGAGGGTTAAGTTTATTCGCGGATTGTGATGTCCCATCAGTAGATATGGGAGTTGTATTATCAGGCCGATGAAATCTATAAAACCGATGAAACGCAAAATAGATTAATCAATAGTTTCGTTAAAAAGACACTCATAAAGTAAACTTGAATGAATATGAACATACTTACCAACCAGATACTCAATATTTAAGGTCCCATCTAAAAGTTGACCGAAGTTTGCCGGATCTAAACCAGTCACATTCAATGGCAAATCCTCACAGCTTCGCACACGCATTGTGGCAAGAAAACCAATCTTGTAGGGATGTTTGGTTGTCCGGTAAGCGGCGTGAGTGACTGCAAAATTAATCATAATCTTTGAGTCACCTTCACTTAGCAATGTATCAAACTGAGCCACCAGATCTTTCTTAACCCTGGCATGGATTTTTCATCCTGTAGGAAGAGAATGGTAACATATGAATATTACATCATTTTTTTTATAATTGTATAAAGAAAATATAGTTTGATAAACTCACACTGGAATCTACCAAACCTAATTCGATAGTTTCACCGCCCTGGGCTGAATACTGCTTCCACATGCGAACTATCTTCACCTTAATTTTCCACATGGACTTGTAGGGCTTCAACTGGGAAACTTGATCAAACACCGCCATTATTTTTTTCGCTGTTGATTATCATAAAAATTTTGTGAGTGATGTATGTTTGATGAAAGGGGGTGATTATATAGTACACCAAAACCTTAGGGTTGATTCTACGTTTAAGTCTTAAAGTCTGGCAAGCCAAACATTTACGCAATATACTCACTAATCACGTTTAATAAATTTGGAAACTTCTGTTTAATATTGAAATCAACATTGAAGATAATCAGTAATGTAGATAGCAAATTCACCAATTTTTTTTGAGAATATCCAAAAATATTGCAATCTAATTACTGATGATTTTTTATTACCAAATTAGTAGAAATTGTATATCTATCTAATTAATTATACACGTCGGAAATATTATGGTCGGATTAGAACTATATCTCCCAACAAACAGATTTTTTCAATCTTTTTATTAATAGGCCTTAAATCCATTTAACAATTACAAACCAATGAAGCTGACAGACCACAAAATTAAAATAAGCCCATAAAATTAATGGATACCAACTGTAGATATAGAACTTTAGCCGGAAAGAATGGTGGTCGGAAACTTGTCATTTAACTTCACAGACCACGTACTATTAGACAAATGATCTATTAGACAAATGCAAAACATAAATGTCACTTTGTATCACGATTGCAAAACATAAGAGAAAATTTTTTATAATGACAAAAAATATATTCATATAAATTTCAATTACATTCATAAATAACAACATGTTTGTAGAAGTGTAAATTTTTATATTTTGTTTAATCTACCTTATTTGGCTTTAAGGGAAATTAATACAATCAAAGCCCAATTTATATATTTTATTCCTTTATAATTATCTAAGCATCCGCTGTTTATGTATTTATAAATATTCATGTTGTGATATGCATGAGTAAAAATAATTGACATATAGACCACCTATACTATTAGGGATTAGTAATAATCATTCTTAAGCATCTTTAAATGAAACATACAAACCTTAAACATACAACTATTTAGTAGTAGCAAAGTCGTAAAATAACTTAAGCCTTTTGAAGTAGTAACAGTGCTTGCATACTTCAGCCATCTTAATGATATCACAGTTTGTCCGTGGCGTAAGGTTGACCATATTTACATAGTACCGCATATTCATAGTAACAGCGATTGCACTTAGTGAGTTCTTAATTCTTTCCCAGCAATGATCGGAGGTTGATAGATTCTTTTCCCATTGGAGTTTATCCAAATACTGTTTACTGGTTCTATAGTGACCGGAAGCAATCATTAACAAACCGTAAAGATACATACCGTTTGAATTGTTCCCAAGAGCTGATTCGTAGATGAAAGATGTCTGTTGGTTTATCTTTGTGGACGAAGTATTAAAGTATGCCCTCAAAATAGTGGGCTTCAGGGTTGTCATTCTCTAAGCACTGTTCCTTGAGCCATTCATTCTCAGTCAACATTCAGAGTGATTCCGCAGTAAAATATCGCAGGCTAAGGTTTCTGAAATAGCTGGTGGGATCTGCGTCTGAGTAGTCGTTGTAGTCATCATTCTCACCGATTTCGGACGTGTTGTAATTGTTCCATGAGGTTTCCGATACCATCGTATTGGGTCTGTCTTTGTTGGGTGTTCTCTGAAAGTGCAGGAAGGTGGAGGACGATATGTTTAATAAGAAGGGTTTTTGAGAATGATGTGAAAAATCAGGATGCTGGATAGTTTAGGGCTTTAATAAGGCTTTGTTCTAAGCAAAAACAGGATGCTGGAGGACACCCTAACTCTTATACAAAAAATTATGTCAATAGCTCACGGTACAAAGGCTCTCTTATACCGTGATTTATGTTAATAGGGTTTGTCTCTCCTCCCACTAAACTATATCTGGTTTGTACTTTATAAATATTTCCTTGGAACTTGGTGTTTCTTTATTGATATGGACAACTCATGGGTCGGCTTTTTGATTTTCCAAAGCAAATAATATGAGGCGTATATATAGACTTAATTGAGAATGATGATATTCAAACCTATGCTGGAGAATGTACTTATATAAGGCTGTTGTTCAACCTTTTGTCAGTTTGTTAATAGGAATGCATTAACAGAGGATCTTGTCTCGGTCCTCCAGCTTTAATAAGGCTATTTTGAAATCAAACTATCACTTGGTACTATCATATCACTTGCATGCATTATTAGTGGCGGGTGTTTTTTTATCATATCACTTTCTTGCATTCTTTTTGCATGCTTTATCATATCACTTCGAACAAATCTACTATTGTCAAATATGTATTGTTTAGTTTCCATAATTTTGAAAGCCAGTCAATGATAATGAGATTTTTTTACGGTATCTGAATATTATGGATTCTTTTTTTTCCAATCTTTTATACTTAATAGGCCTTAAAGCCGTTTAACAATTACAAACCGATGAAGCCCACATACCACAAAATTAAAATAAACCCATAAAATTAATGGATACCAACTCTACACATAGAACTTTCGCCAGAAAGAATGGTGGTCGGAAACAAAAAGTGTCGCCAGAAATTACGGTGGTCGGACTCTCTTGTCTCGCTAATCCTTCGTACGGCCACCGTCAACATAAAGATCTCTCAATCGGATTTTTAATATAAATGTGAAAATTGGTTTAGCCATGAAACTCTGTCTACATATTTCATTTGTGTCTGAATCAAAAGCATGAGCATAATTATATTACAGAGAAAAGCCACTGAAAACAGTTTTTATTAAAATTGAAATCTAAAGGAAGAGCACATTGATCCCTTTTTATTAAAATATATGGATCCAAAGAGTCTTTCATCTTCTCGGCTCCTGAACATGAAAACGTATTCTTCTGCTTTTGCTTTTTTATTTTCCTTGGATACTCACTTTCTAATCCGATCAACGTTTATATCACTAAATTAATAATCTTGATTAAGTATGAAACATGCCAGTATATAGATATTCACACACCAGAATTTTGAGATGAAAATGGTTTTTTTTGTTGCCGAGAGATCAAATTATGTGGAGAGAGGAGAGAGAAGAGGAAGAAATAAGAGCATCATTGTCTTTTATCATAACAAAAAGTGAAAACATACTTTGTAATACATATACAATAGAAAAAATGATTATCAGGTATCTGAAGTATTGGCCATCACATGGCTGATCATGCAAAGTAAAAAAATGTACACTCAACTACACGAAGTATATGGTAGGCATAGTAACATCCATGAACTTTATGTTGTTATGTAGCTAACATCACAGGGCTAATAACAATTAATTACATCACAAGATTAATTACATTTATAATAAATATAACATATAAAAACGCTTTAAGATATGAAAAACCTTTATATATTTTATATTTTTATTATTATGAATATTTTATTTTAGAAAAAAAATTTAACTTTATTTTAATTTATATTTTTAATAGTTTGTATTTTATTTTTCTATATGATTTGTTAGGTGAAATTCTTTTTTTACCCTATTTGTTGTAGCACAATTCATTTTTCCTTCATTAAGGATATATTTTTACAAATACATTTTTCACTAAATGGAAAAAGACTTTTTTACCATTTTTTATAAAAATATATAAATATAAATAATTATGTAAATAGTTAAGTCATTAAAACAATATTTTTCAAAAAGTTTTTATCTCTTTAAAGTTTCTTTATAAACATTTTCAGTAAACAAATTTAAGTATTTAATTGCAAAAATCTTTTGTATTAAAATATTAAAAATATTAAAACCATTTTAGTTTATTGAAAATTTTTATAAAGACATTTATAAAGAGATATAAAAACGTTTTCAAATATACCTAGTTATGTAGTTTCATTAAAAAAATACTTTTCTATCCTTACATTATAAATATAAATAATTATTTAATTCATGTATAAAAATAAAGGCTAAACTAACAAAATATTACAAATATGTAAAATTAAAATAAATTTATTTTTTTCTAAAATAACATTAATTTTAATACTATTGTATAAAAAATAAATTAAAATATTCTTAATAATTAAAAAAAATCAAATAAAAAGATTTTCCATATCTTAAAAAAATTTTACATTTATATTTTTTATTAATATAATTAGCCTTGTGATATAATTAGAATAATTGGTCTTGTAATGTTGGCTACATAACATAAAGTTCATGGATGTTAGTATGCATATCATATACCTCACATAGCTGAGTGTGCATTTCTTTACTTTGCATGGTCAGCCATGTAGTGAACAATACTTCAGGTATCTGACAATCATTTTTCCTATACAATAATGTTAGTCCAATATATCTCAATGGCAGAACTGTAATTATGCTAGTGAATAAATGGTACTTTTAAGAGGAGGTTGAGAAGGCGTGAGAAGGTAACACGTCAGCTGGTTCTGTTGTAAATAACTTACAACATCAAGGTTAGTGTCATCCCAATGTTTCTCAATTAATACTATAGGGATGGATTCCAACCGATGGTCGTTTGTATGCTATATCCTTTACGAAATCAACATTGGAGGAGATCACCCATTTGTTGTTAAATGAGAGAATATACAGGAAGAAGGGAATAGATCCGTTTACGAAGAGGCTGAAATTTTGTTACATTCCACTGGTAGTGGAATCTAAGAGACAATCATATGTTTTGGATGATGAAGATGTGTTTGTTTATCTAATATCGGTGGATAAAGAACAAAGAAGAAGTATTTTGCATGTAGAGGACACCCAAGAATTGAAAATATCTCAAATAACCGAGCAACTATCGAGAGTTGAGAATCAAAGCTTATGTAGTAGGAACTATGGTGAGCGTGAGAGTGGATATGGAGAAGAAGATAATGTGGGTATTGGTTTGGAACATAAGGAACACAATGAACATTCCCACAAGAAACACAAAAGGAAACGATGAAATGTGAGATTTGTATTTGTGTTGTGCAACTAAGTGACACCTTATCCTTTATTGGTATAAGTACAATAGGTAAACTGAGTAATAGGATTGTAAGTTTTAGACTTGTTATGAAAGTACTAAGATGGTATTTTATGAGTTATTTTTGGGTTGTGTTGATTATGATTTTATCAGAACCAAAAAAAATCTCGTTGCTTATTAGTAATCATTATGTCGGATTACACTATCTTTTTATATGTTTTCGTTAATATTCACCTTGTCTCATTCGAAATCTTACTAAGTAATGAAATTGAGTTTATGTATAAATGGACAAATGAGAAATGAATCTAGTATAGAGAACATAACTGGTATAACCATAAAATCAGTCATTGTAATAGAGTAAAACCAAGATAATTGGAGAAAACTATAAAGTACAACTTTGATGTTTTCTGTAAAACTGCAAATTTGGTGAAACTTCAATCACGAAAATACTAGGCTAAAAATTTCTCGCCCACCAGCTTTTCAAATTTCTAATCTCACTCTCCCCCCCCCTTCCCAATCCAGTTAGTACTAAAACTCTTACTTTTGCGTTTTCTCACATTCTCTAGATTTACTTTCTCTCTCTTCCCTTTATCTCTCTTTCTCTCTCTCTCTCTCAACCGAAATTCCCTAATGTCGAACTCAGTTACGTCCGCTTCATCTTCCCCGACCGAGGGTCGGAGATGACGAGTAAGAACTCCGGGGATACCTAAGAGGTGTTGGTGCGGGGAGAGCATCACCAAGCTCATCTCCAAATCCGGTCCAAATCCATATCGCCGGTATTATCGGTGTCTCGATGCGGCCAAAAAGAGGGTAACATCCATTTAGCTTTAGTTATCGAAGGGTTGTTTCTTCAATATTTTGAATAAAATTTTGGAATGCTGTAGCTCGAGAACGACGATCACGTCTTCAAATGGGTCGACGAAGCTTTCACCGATGAGATTGAACATTTAGAGTACCAAGTTCGAATGCTAGAATAAGAAGTTCAAATGCTCAAAGCAACAACAACAATAAGTAGTGTAGGTCCCAAAATAATGCCTAAGATAATGATATCAGGATGTTGTGTTGTTAGTATCATCATTGTCGTTGTAGTTTCGGTCGAATTATGATGTACAAGTGATTCCTTAAACTAGTGACTTTGTCAAACATTCTGTTTTGTCTAAGTTTTTTGTAATTTATGTGAAATTAAACATTATGTTTGTCTAAGTTTTTCCTAAGTTTCTCCTAAGTTATGCGAACTTAAACTACTATGAAGTATGGTCAACTGAAAAAGTTTCTCAAATGTTTACGATGTTGGACAATTGAGAAATTGAACCTAACACAAAATTTGACCTGGTTATACGAACACCAACTTTCAAGTTAAGTTGAACTACTACGAAGTTTGGTAAACTAAAAAGTTTCTCAAATGTTTACGATGTTGGAAAATTGAGAAATTGAACCTAACACAAATTTGACCTGGTTATACGAACACGGACTTCATGTTAACTTCAAGTTATTATTAGGTTCACGCACTTGGACAATTACAAAAGTTAAGAAAACAATTTTTAATACACACTAACGCAGTTCAACATCACAAACCAAGTTTCAGAAACACTAATACATTAGATAAAACCTTACAAAGGCCCGATAGTCCCGTAGGGTCACTGTTATTAACCGATTGTCTGAACTCCTCTACGTCCGGCAAGCGCGGATTGAACCTGAAGTCAGATAAGTCCCCCTCGGTCTTAAGCCATTCTTCTGTAGGACCAGAATAAGCTGTATAAATGAGTTTAGAGAAGGTTTTAGTCAACTAACACATTTAAAACTGAACACATAAGCATAACTTTCACTTACGGAAATAGTCGCGAACCCTCCACATCTTAAGGACCACAATCACTTGTCCACGACCTCCCCTATTTTCAAACCCTTCCCGGAAGGCATAAGCATGCTTCCCAGTTGCCACACATTTATCTGACTCTCACTATGATGAATAAAACAAGGTGAGTCAATTACACGTCAATTACACTAATGCAAACATTTTTTTATCATATGTTACTTAATAATTACATGTTGTCCCTTATGTAAAACACCATCTTTGGTCCTTCAGGATCATCGAAATGGGCTTCCGTCTTAAAGACCAGTCCCATTGTATCTACCAGATAAGTATATTAGATTCCGTTACTTACATCTACATAAAAATATGATATATATTGATTAGTTAGAATTCATACCTATGGGAAACGTTTTCTCCTTGTAGCTCATGTGAGGGATTTCATGAATGCCTTTGAACTCAAAGTAAAGCTGATCGTTCAGAGGATCGATGATGTGGATTTGGGTATCGCCAGTAGCAGTTAGTGTGAATTTGGATTTTGCTGCCTTGAAACCTGAATGGGCACGGCCAACTTCTACAATAAAGATTTCCACCCATTTTCCCTCTTGCTTCTCTAGGCCTCTAAACCTATCTCCATATATATCATAGATGGTCATCTCCATCTTGGTTCCCTGCATAAATTAAGTTCAACGAGCAAATTTATATTTTCCATTGTTGTTATTAGAAACTTGAGAGATGATGATTTTGTACTTACATGTTTATCTGCTAGGACATAAACATAGTGGGGTCTATTGCCGGTAACATAGGAATTGAAAGAATAGATCCTTATAATTTTCACTTTGAAACGCCAATGCTTGACCTTCTCGTTATAGACAACTTCACCAAGAGTATTGTAGTGTTCCATATTTGAAAGATGATGAATTTTTTCTTTGCGGTGAAATGTTTTTTAGATATAAAGGAGACTATTTAACTTAACTTACTGCGGTGGAGTGGAGATTAAATTGAGGGTTTCTTAAATTGAATGCAAATGTAATGATGATCTACACAGTTTAGTGTTGTGGGATTTAAATGACGTGTAATGATGATCATAGGTGACTGTTAGTGTGAAAAGTCGTGTCTTTCTTACTGAACTCAACTTGTTGTGTTGGGGTAAGAAATCAGAAAATGATGGAGGGGAAGGCACCGTCTTTCAAATTACTCTTAAATGGAAGAGTTACAACTTTTAGTTGCGGTAATAAATCATTATTACACAAATTAAATTACTGTTCATTTATTATCCCCTATATTTCTTACTGAATAATATATTTATTTCTTAAAGGTTTACATAGTTTCATATATTTAGACTATCAAAATTGTTACAACTAAATTGTTAAACGTTTTCTTAGTTTCATATATTTAGACAATCTAACTCAGTTTTTTCACTTAGTTTTAAGAAGTTATTTATTTTTATCATTTAAAGTTTTACAAAGTTTCAAATCCAACGCATGTGACTGTTGCAATCAGAAGTCGTGCCTTTTCGAGGCCTCTATCAAATCACAATTAACTACCGTGATAAATACAATCTTATATCTTCTCCACTGTTGAGGATCATCACATTTATAGAAGGGTTTGTCCAAATAAATAAAACGCTAATCTTTCCATTTACATGATAAAACAAATATCTCACCATGTCGAACTCTAACTTGGCTTCTCTACCTCCTTCCATGCTTCACAAGATTCTCCCTAAGGTAGTAACAAACCATCTCCGGGACTTCGGTAGTGCAAAAGTTGCATTACCCGCCTTCAATCAAATTGGCATAAAAGAATACCTCTACAAATCTGTAGATCTTATTCACTTGAATTACTAGATTGATGAGGTTAATGCTGTCAGAACATACATGCTTAAGTGCTACCGAGCCGGTAATCCACAGGCCATCTGCTTGCGAGGTATGTATGAGTTCTTCGTCCTCCATTTACTTGATCAAGGAAGGGAAAAAACTCGTCTTGCTGGTGAGAGGGGATTTATGTTGGCCAAGTACGTTGATGATATGCTCAACTTAGCATTTAGTGTTGATGAAAGAGGATTGGTTCACAACTTTCCTACTTTTACACATGAGATTGCTGATCAGATGGATCACATGATCGCTACTAAGGTATCCTCAGGTCACTGGGGTTACGAAAAACTACAGATCTTTATGTCTCTATTGGAAAAGATAGATCCCATCATCAATTATAATTTCTGGTGCTCTGAAATGATACAACCGGTGTTTGTTGTCTCCTTAGATGGATCAAGAACCCGGTGAAAATGCAATCGTTGTTTATGGCAATGTGCAATTTGGGACTTTTGCAATGATATTCATTTGACCGCTGCTCAGTGGCCAATTGAAGATCAGGGATGAAGTATTTTCGTGTGTTTATAAGTTATGCCATGCACCGTTATGTACTTTTCTAAGCTTTATGTAAAATACATTTCCCTTAATGTAATGTCTATAGTTTTTTTATTTTAATTTCACTAAATATATCAGTAACATAATGCAAATAAATAACTATTTTTATATGTCTTGGATTAACTGTAATCAAAGTTGAATCGATATGTTATCACTAAATATATCAATAACATATTGCAAATGTACAGGAAACAATCAAAATTAGTTGAAGGTTTACTAAGTTGTATAGTTACTACAAGTGTGAATTAGTTCAACTTAGATTCCAGTTACACTTACATCAAGTTATATAATTACACAAAGTTTCAGTAATGTTTTTGAAGTTATGGACACTAGAGATCCTAATTCTGGTTGCCTTGTAATTATTCGAGTTTCTTTCGGTGTTCTGGTCTTTTACTAAATTTTCCTATTTAAATAAAGATTTATTCGGATTTATTTGGGGGGTGAATTCCGGGAAGGAGTATTTGGGAACAAAATGTTTTGGACAGGAGTACGGGAGCATTTGGTTCAATAAAAACACCATTGTACATGGTTTTACACTCGTCTTCTTGAAAATATGTAAATTATGTTTTTGACTTATTATTTGGGGCTAGTTATTTGTATATCTACATTCATAATACACCATATTATCAAATTAAGATAACAAAATCTATTGTTGATCGGAACTAGCCGGTACTTCCACCGTCAAGACTGGTGAGCGATCACTTCCTTGTCGGCAAAGACGTTCATACTCCGAGGACGACCTATTCTTAGGCAACATAACTTTGCAGGAAAACTTAAGGCACAAGGCACAAGTAATGATCAATATAGTAGACAAAATCCAACTAAACTGAAGATTCGCCAAAGCCTTTGCTCGAACCTCAGCGCCAGGAGACTCACAAGCTACCGCACTACTATGAACAACACTTCTGCTATCAGATGACGCCGTGTTGCTCACGCAACCTCTAGGAACATACCCTGGGACCCAAAGCATGAAACCCATGTTCAAGAACCAGCATCCTTGAAACATAACCGAAACCGAGAGGACAAGAGCTGCAGAAAAGGATTTCGGAAAAGAAGCAGAAGCTAGAGCCGAGGAGAAGGAGACAAAAGCGATGAGCTGGAGAAGGAAATGATAGTGACCTTCAAGACCTAAGTGATCAGTGGAGTGAAAATGAAGGAGGAAGAGTTCTTGTGCAAAGACAGAAGCAGAGAGGATCCCTATTATGCCGGAGAAGAGATCTGAGCAAAGGGTTAGTTCGCAGAAGAGAGCGAAACATGCGAAGATAATGAGGTGGAGGAACATGGAAGCATGTTCTAGGTTGTCTGGCTTGAAAGAGGAGAAGTTGAATTCAGGGAAGTCTATAGTTAAGAGGATGATGGCGAAGAAGGAGAAGAAAAGGATCAAGACAAGCTCGAGATGTTTGAGTTTAGGGAAAGGGAACCAGAACTTGGCAGAGAAAGTTTCAGGGCCTTTGAGACAGTAAGATCTTATGGTGTTGAAGAGATGCCAAAGTCCAAGAAGTGCAAGTGAGAGACCAGGGACAAAGTGTCCTAAAAACGTTCCCATTCTAATGTTTTTAGTGTATCTTGTTATTCTTAATTTTCGTGGTAAATACTAGTGTTGAATGATGTGTTTGTTAAGAAGTCTTTATATACAGATGAGATATCTTAGTTGGTTGCGTGAAGGAATATACCACTAAAATAAAAGCTGAGGAAAAAGAAGCAGAAAAAGTGGCTTTGCCAATAAGTAATAATTTAAAATTGTGAGAAAGTAACGTATTCCGATACCTATGCATCAAGAATCTTAGTTGAATTGTGAGAAAGAAACTTACTCCCATGCCTATGAATCAGATCTCATTTATATTTCTTATGCCATAAACCAAGATATACATACATATTGACGACACAAAAGGTTAATCAAATGTTAAACGTAACTTAGAATAAAATTTATATATATATATATTTGAGTATATATAATACTGCAATAAATTTCGTTATCGAAAGGTAGAGTAATCTTATTCATTTACAGGTTCACTTTCTTTTCCTATTTAAACTTTTGATTTTTCAAAAGATATAAACTTTAATATTATAGGATAGTGATACAAAGGTTCGTGCATGCACTTAATAATTGACACTAAGTTTTAGAGATGCAAAGTCGAGTGTGACTTCTTCGGATATAGAGTTATAAAAATATTAGATGATTCACCTATGTGATTCACCTATGCTTAGATATGATTATTTCAATTGGTTGGAAGGATTGTTTCAGTAAATTTTCTTAAAAAAAGATTATTTCAACTATGTTTATTAGGTATGGCACTCACTACCATTTGAAAATATAACATGTCTTCTATAAATATTACAAAATGATGAAATATTCGATTTGAATTACGAAGATCAAAGTGCTAAAAATTTATATGATACTGTCTCTCAGTCTCCGGACTTCAAATTTTCCTCTTTTGATGTAATATAAAATAACAATAATGAATAATTTGACCTAACTTAGATTAGGACCCAAGAAAAGTAAGAGTCCATAAACTATTGAGGATAGATTTGGGTCACGCTCCATCCACTCTAAGTGGAAACTAAAGAGTGATTCCACTTAGTCAGAAAATGGAAATTACGATGAATCCATTTAGGCATTTACTACCAAATTGAAAAGAAAACAAATCAAATCAAACGATAGTTTAATTTTGCCTTTAAGATTAAATAAAGCACAAACAAAATTGTAGAGCGACAAAGATAGCATTAGTTAGGGGTCCGCGTTCGGTTCGGGTATTCATTCGGATTCGGTTCGGGTATTCATTCGGATTCGGTTCGGATTCATTCGGTTTCAGATTTTCGGGTATAAAGATTTTAGTCTCATTTGGATATTTATAAATTTTTGTTTGGGTTCGGTTTAAATCTTTGCGGGTTTGGTTCGGATTCGGATAATCCATTTAAATTACTTTTTTTAATTTTAAATTTATACATTTCTTAAATTTCCCCAAAATCTAAAAATAAAAAAGTATATAACATATATATTTGAGTATTGTATGCCAAAATATATAAATTAACATAAAATTAGTTTGGATTGAATATTTGGATGAAGATTCAACAGAGATTTTAATTATTTTAATGTTTAGTATTGTTTTACTGTGGAAGCACCGTAGCCTAGTGGTTAAGGTTTAAATTCCCGAAAAAGGTGAATGGAGAATTATGCAGATTGGAGAAAAGACTTACAATAGATCTTCAGCATGGCGTAAGGCGTACCGTCAGGATGGATTTCATATTGCGGCTCAGGGTGATGCAGTCAGACGTGAATCTGCATAAGGTAGGTAGAATTGTCGGCTATAATATCGTCTATGTAATATTTCTCATAGTTTGTAATGCATAATTGACCAGTGTTAAAAGAAAAGTATTGTTTTACTATTTTGTATATTTACTTTTGACTATTTGTATACATTTTTGAATATTTTGGATATATGTTGGATATTAAATCTAAAAATAATTATTATATTCAAATATATAAATCTCATTCGAATATATTCGGGTATCCGAAATATTTTGGTTTGGATCGGGTTCAGTTTCGATTATCTAGATACCAAAATTTTGAGATATATGTAGGATATTAAATCTAAAAATAATTATTATATTCAAATATATAAATCTCATTCGAATATATTCGGGTATCCGAAATATTTTGGTTTGGATCAGGTTCAGTTTCAATTATCTAAATACCAAAATTTTGAATCTACTCAGATATTTAATCAGATTCATTTCGGTTTTACTACTATTTTTTAGATCGGATTTAGTTCGGTTTTTCGGGTTCGGATTTTTCGCCCAGACCTATTAGTGGTGGTTAGTATAATAAATTGGGTTGTTATCTTCTTTTCTACATGTATGGGCCTGCTCTCTTTATTTTATGAGCGTTCCAAGGAAAATAAGGTAAACAAAAACAAAAAGAGCTCTTGGGCTTCTTCTTCTCACGGGCCCTAAAGAACGTTAAAGATAAATACAAAAATCCGACCTGCCGGAATCGAACCAGCGACCTAAAGATTATCTGCAAACACTACAGTCTTCCGCTCTACCAACTGAGCTAAGGTCGGTTGTGATGATTAATTCACTAAGATATTTAATAAAACAAATTGTAGAAGTAGATTTATAAATTGTAACCTGAATGTTCCAATTTCCATAAAGTATGTAAAGAAAACTGGAACTTATAAACTACCAATGCAATACATTTTTTCATATAACAATAGTAACCAGGCTTGGTTTATTATTCACAACAAACTTGACTATTAATGTAGTACATCGGTTTCTTTACGAAGCACATCATTTAACTTAACTTCCACCGTGTTGTTTCTGAGTTGTGACTTAAGTCATATCGATTAAGTATCGTCTCTTATTCCATATAACATATAGTTTTATTAATTTATTTAAGCAAAAGAAATGCAGAAATACTAACCCAAATTAATATCAGAGCTAATGTTATCAACCATCCAAGCTGGAGTGGTCTTGGATGTATGTCATGATAAGGTATATCCAAATTTCTCTAATTGAAAACTTGGATTTATTATTAGTTATTTAATCTGTACATGTTTAGGATCGGTGTTAAATTGGTGAAGTTAATTAGTATATGTAACTCGTGTGTTTTCTGAGGAAAACATGTGATGGTTGCTAAAAGTGAGCAAATATTATGTATTATATTTAATAATTTTTATGTTTGATTTAATTATTATTTTAGATTAGGTCATGCACATTAAAAAAATATTGATTTGTATATTTTGTAAATAAAAAATTATCTATATATGTACATTTAAACACATTTCAACTAATAGAAAAATAGACTGGAAAATATAAAGAATCATATATTAGAAATGAGATTATCAAAATTACTTAGATATTTGAGAGATATTCGTCAAAAATGCAGACTTAAAAATGTTTCCCTTATAATTTACAAGATTTTTCATACAAAACGCTAATAAATAAGAATAATCACATGCAAATATAACACAAATGTTTCTTGAATTATATTTCGTGATTTTTCTAATTATAGAAGAAACCAATTGATTGAACAATAAAATCCAGTCAAAACAAACAATAGATATTAGATATAGATGCATGAATCATATAGAAAGGTTATTAGACAGTTAACTGTTGCGTTACGTATGTTCATCGACTATAAAATATCACATTTACAGAGGGTCACCTCATTTTCAATAATCTGAACTAACAAATCCACCTTACGTATGACAAAATCTCCAGTCGCAGTGTCATCTTACCGTTTCCAAAATAAAATAAAGAAAACAACCATAAAAAAGGTGGAATTCATTCAACGATGACAACCAACCATATACAAAAACATATGATCCAATAAATATATACAAACAAGTTACATTTAATATTTTTCTATTTTTTTAATTGTAGCGGAATCTTTCTTTCCTTTCTTTCTCCACTTTCTTTCTTCTTCTGGTTACACATGATTTAAATATGTACAAACAACACAGAAAAAATCTAAACAACAAAAGGCTACACGACTTTCTTAAACTTTACAAGAAAAGACAATGTCACGTTACGTGGCAGTTCTTTATTGGTCACTCAGTTGTACCAAGATCTACCTATTTGCCTCCCAATCAATTCCCACTTTACGACAAAGAGCAACAATCACATGGTATGGGCCGCGTACTATTCCGTCATGCTCACACCTTCACGCGCTATTGACTTAAACGTTCAAATAATTAGGACGCGTAGTCCGTCACGCGCCACACTTTAACCGATTTGTCTAAACTCCCACTGTACACTATCCACCGTTGATCTGCTTTATCTCCGTTATCGACATCGTCATCTGCTTCTTCCACCGCCGTTAAACACTTAACAGGTCCGTCATGATCCATCAAAACAGAAAGACACGTGTGCGATCCATCACCGTTCCTCCTCCAAACGCAGATATTCTTATCAGCTCCGCCGCTCAATAACAAACTCCCGGCGGTGGTGAGACACAGCACCGCCATACGGTGGCCGTGAATCGTCCCACCGTGAGTCAAGTACTTCCTCCGTTCCCAGAAATTAACGGAACCGTCAGAAGATCCACAGTAAACCACAGCGTCGTTTAAATTAACGGCTAACGCCGTTACAGCGCTCTCTTGTTTCATCAACACGTGTACTAAAACATGTTTCGTCTCTTTCCCTTGGAGCTCACGTTTCCACACTTTCAACGTCCCGTCGGCTGATCCGGTGAATACCAACTCGTCAAACCCGGCGACCACCGTGTTGACCGCGTCGTCGTGTGCCTCGATGGATTCAAGACATTTAGAATCTGATAATCTCCACACTTTTAGTGTCTTGTCCCACGAACCGGAGTACAGCAAACCGAGATCTTCGTTTACGCTAAGACACGACACGGCGTCGAAATGTCGGATTTTCAGTTTGTTTTTCCTACGACGAGTTTCGACGTAGTTTTTCGGGTTTACCGATTTGGTGAGAAACTCTTTCAGAGTCGGTAAGCTTCCGACTCTTGAGTATCTCTCAGGGTTTCTCTTCGAGCCTCTCCAAACCCGGATTTTACCGTCTTGATGACCGGTGAAAATCCGGTTATCTCCGGTTATCACAATCGCTTTAACAAACCCGCTTGTGGATTTAAACCCGGAGAAGTCTTTCAGATCTTTCCAGACCCGGATGTTCTTGGAATCGGATCCTGTGAAGAGAAGATCCCCTGAAGCAGCAAGAGAGTACACGTGTCCTTCTTGTCTCACCATCGTACCGACCAAACCGTTGTCTGGATCATCCTCGAAATCGCTGTTTCTGGTTTGGTAAATCCAAGGCGACTTGTGGTACGGAGAGCAAGATTGGTTCCAGGGTGACTGATTAGTAGAGGGAAACGCCGTCGTATTATCATTATGTGGATAGTAAGTTTGGTTCCATGGGGAGAGTGGGTAGATTGGGGATGATGATGAATCGCTAGTTGAGGCGTTGCTTGGACGCTGAGAATCGCTGTTGGTGCTAATAGCGTCTTTGTTGTCGTTGTGGTTGTGATCGCCGTCGGTGTGGTAAGTTTCGTCGCCGGCGTCGGAGGAATCTGATTTCAAGAAAGAGGCGAAAGTGAGCCTCCTGTAATGATCGCTGTGGCTTCTGTTATCTTGAATAGCCATACTTTTTCGAGATTACAGAAACAATTGATTGATTATTTGTGTTTGACAGAAGAGAAAGTTCGATCTTTTTGTTTTGGTGTGTGATTGATTAGTGGTGTAATAATAGTCTTGAAATTTTATGAAGAAGAAGATGGGTGGGGCGTTAGGGTGTATATATACAGAATCGTATGTAGAAATGTGGGAAAACTTAGACGTGTAAAACGACACGTGTTGGAGAAGGCGTGAATCGAAGACCGGGACACGGGTTGTGCCAGTTTAATTGGAGAATATGCAGACAAAAATATAAACATTTAGACAAAATCATTAAACAGTATTTTTCTGTATAAGGTAATATTTTTTTTTTGAACAAGTATAAGGTAATACTAGGATAAGCCCCGCGCCTTGCGCGGGATGAAGCTATTATTTTTATTATGTTTTTAAAAATGAAACAATAGTTCGGTTTCATTCGGATTAGAGGTGTTCAATCCGGATATCGGGTTTCGGTTCGGCTCGATTTTTTAGTATTTTGATCATTAAAATATAACTATTATTTTAAATCTTTATGTACTTCAGTTTGATTTGGTTTATATATCATCGGTTTTCAGTTTATTCAATTTTATACCAAAAAACATAATTATTTAGTTTGAGATCATATTATATATTATACAAATATATAATATGATCATATTTAGAGTCATATTGTCACAGAGTCATTTATTAAAAAATATTATATATTTAAATAAAAGAATAAAAAACAAAAAGGCTTCTATCCTCTAATAAAATGATCAAATCTAGAATTAATATCAAAACACTAAATTGTGAAAATAAAAATAAAAAATAAAACAGAAGCATGAAAGAAAAGTTTTTATATTCTTCCATATTTAGTGTTCATCAAACCAATATGTCTTCGACTGAACACAACTCTGTTTGTTTAAAGATAAAAAAAAAGTTGTAAAGAATTTCAACTAATTGTTGTCCATCAAATTTATAATCTTTACTTCAATTTAGTTACTGTTAAAAAAGCAAAAGATCAAAATAAGAAGTCTTAGTTGTAATAAATTGTTAGCTATTTACAAATTATAATTATAGTTCAACTCATGTAACAAATAGATTTTCATGCGTCGTTATAAATATATACA